TGTGTGTGTGTCTGTGTGTGTGTGAGTGAGTGTGTGTGAGTCTGTGTGTGTGTGTGTGTGTGTGTGTCTGTGGGTGTGTCTGTGTCTGTGTCTGTGCAGCACATCACAGGGCTCGTTGGCACCGCTGGGCTCATGCTGGGTTCTGGCACTGACACGGCCTGCCCTTGGCATTAATCTAAACCACATTACGGGCAAAAACCCAGACGCCTGAAACTCTGATGAAGATGCATCTGTTCACCAAACCTGACTGAGAGAAAGGGCTCACATTTTTCCGAATAGCCACTGTCCTTTAGTTGCGTCACATCACAGTAAAAGCACACTTGGATGCTTGAACCATGAAGAAAATCAAGAAAAACATTTGGAAAATTTATAATTTTCAAACATCTCTACTGCAGCCAATTAATGGCAGGGAAAGAAAGTCCAAGTGTCAGTGCAGACAAAGACACACAAAGCAGTATAACTGTATACGTCAAGGTTATTGCTGACTCACTATACACTATGCTACCATTTAGTGTATGAACTTCATAAGGTCATTTTGTCCAACATTCCACTGCACTTTTCGGTTAATTAATTGCATCATCCAGTATTCAAAGTGCACTTTTTCATGATTAAATTTTTAGTGTGAATGCACTACTCACACTATTTATGCTTCAAAATTGCACAGAATAGTGCACAAGTATACGAATTGGGACGCATCTTATCTGTGTGATTCCCAGGGAACACATAACCTGAATGCAATGCAATTCACTTTGGATAAATGCATGAATGTAAGCTTAAAGACAAACTAAAAGACACAAAACTCAGATTTTGATGACAATTTCATGATGGTGACTTTTTATGTCACATACAGATCCACCTGCTGACATACAGGACGAGGAATAATCACAGCAGCTTTAATATTTACACATTCGTGTTTGAAAACCTTGTTGGCACATCGCTCATCATTTCTGGTTTTAAATATTTGTCTTTGATTTCGGCTCATTAAAACCACCAGAGCCTCATTAATTCAAATATTTAGTCAATTAAAAGCCTGAATCCTGTATAAATTAGGGAAATAAAACGGCGGGGAAACCCAAACAGATTAAACCATTTTCCTCTCCCTCCAATAAACGATAAATTCAACCAGAAATGAAACTTCTGTCATCATTTATGTTGTTTTTTCCATTTTTTGGACACAAAAGCAGCAGCTCTTTTCCCATATAATGGAAGTGGGTTGTGAAACAGGCCATTTTTACACTGTTAACAAAATATATCTGTCACCAGAATCTGATCAGATCTAGCTGTCTGTTTATAAACAGCAAATACGTATTTTTTTGTAGACTGGAAATGTTAAAAAAAGTTTTAAACGCCTGAAATCATAGGCTGAGGTTTAATTAGTGCTTCTTTGATGGCGTGTTTTATTTTCTGTTTCACACGAGATAAACTACAGTTACAACAGTGCTGGATTAACAATATGTATTTCTCATTTTTAATGGATACTGATATCAATTCTTCAATCTCAAGATCAATCTTTTAGTTTATGCTGTTTTCTGTTGATGCGTGAACTTCGCTAAACATTATTTGTAGTGCACTTGTAATCCAATAATCACAATAAGCTAAATCTGTCATGAAAACAAGTTTTTATTACAGCCACCGTTTAAATCTCTATATTTCAACAACAAATTAGAGTAGAAACATAATTCTGTTATTAAAAAGTTGGCTAAAACGGCTTCATGTGCAATGTAAATATTTGTACAACTCATTTTTATTTTTGAGTACGTGTTGATTATTAAATAAATTTGTTTAATTATTGATTATTAAATAAAATGTATTTTTAATTTCGGTTTTCGGCAAAGTGCATCCTGAATTTTTGGTTTTGGCCCAGAATTTTCATTTTGATGCACCACTAGTTTTTTCTTCTTTCACTAAAGCCTCCATAAGTGAAAGAAACGACTGGCTTTTGACTCGACTGGTTTGCGGTCAACTTGTTTTTCAACGACAATAATTAAAGCATCATAGTGAGAATTAATCTCTTTTCACTAAACACAATCCGTGCAAACCAAACCTCACAAAAATCATCTCTCTAGAAATTAAACATGATACAAAAATGTGCACATAAAACAGCAGATAAAAAATATGAGGAGAAATAACATTTAGGAGACATTAACACCTGGATAACCACAAAATAAAAAAAGAATGACAAATAAAACAAAAATGTAAATTCAGCAAATTGATAATGTTCATAAAAAATGTATTTGTATGAATTGATAAAATAATTGATGAATAATAATTAATTTAAAAATGATAAAATATTATTAAAATGTGAGTATGACGTGATATTTAAATTTGTATATTGTCTGCTTTTTATATGATCTATCTGATTAAGATAGATAAAAATAATAATAAATGCAAATTTGGTGAATTTATAAGAATTTACATAAAAGTTAAACTATAATTGATAAAATTAACAATTGTTAATTCATAAAAAAATATAAAAAATGGTATGAAGTGATATTTTTAATTTGTCAATTGTCTATTGTGTTCTCTATTATCTATCTGCTTCTCTAAAAATACAAAATAATGATAAATAAAACAAATAATGCATTTTAGCAAATTGATAATATTCATAAAAATAATACATGTATGACTAATAAAATAATTGATAAATAACAATTGATTAATTAAAAATGTATTATAAAAATGTGTTGTGAAGTGATATTTTTAATTTGTCTATTGTGTTTTCTACGTATTTTCTTATATTCATAAAATATAAATTTGTAATGACAAAGATAAATTGATAAACAATAATAAATTAAAAATGTGATTATGAAGTGATATTTTAATTAGTCTATTGTTTTTTATCTTCTTCTCAGACGAGGACAGACCACACACATCTCAAGAGATCTCAACGATGTCTCAAACTGTGCTCAGACACCAAAGTCTCAATCAGCTGTCTGACCTGTTATGAACTACTCGAATCATGTTCATCGAGAATCAACTCCTCACAGATCGGATCGAATCGGTCACTTCTGCTGACCAACCAGTGGCGGCGCTAGGGCGGGGCTATAGCCCCATCAGCGCCCCCAAGGATTTCCTAATGATGTTCCTGTTTTTTGGTGTCACTTTCATTAACACTAAAAAATAAACATTAAAAACCTAAAAAAAAAAAGTGTCTAATATGTGGCCTATAAACAATTGGGGAGGGGCAAGCAACACAAGCAAGCAACGCGCAAACTGCGCAAGAGTTATGCCAGTGAACGTCAATCAATTCACTATAGAGAAAGTGAAAGTAAAAAGTCTCCTCTGAGGCTGGGACTCTAAACAGTGTTCTGTGCTCGTCTGTGCAGCCAAACACAGAACAGTTAGCATGCTTTGCTCAAACTTTCATCATGGCATTAGAGCTAGCGCACCGCTGTCGCTTGCAAATCAAAATGATGGTGTCATGGGCGTAAACTTGCAGATTAAGGGGCGGTAATATTATAATGAGATCCCTTTGCCACGTCACCAAGGGAGCGAAATCAGACGCGCTCGTTTTCTCAGACGCTTGCAGAAAAAGGCTTCCCAAAACAAAGTTACTGGGTTAATCTTTTTCACATTTCCTTGGTTGGTAGATGCACCGGGGACCTGATTATAGCACTTAAAACCTGGAAGTGTCAGATTTTCATGATATGTCACCTTTAAATGATTCCCTTATATTTCTCTTGTGGCCCGTATAGTGAAAAACACGAGAAGAAACGTATTTAGCGTTAAACAAGTTGTTTTTGAAAATCGGTGCACGAAATAAAGCTGCTCTTAATTTTCATTGATGACTGCAGTGTTAATAATTTTAATTATAGGTCTATAATTCATTATATAAATTAATAGACCTGTTTAAAAAAAAAAAAACATTTTCAATGAGGAGTAAGCTAATAGCCTAAACTTTAATTATCCTCACAGCGCGTCATGCGGTGATGCGCTATGAAATTATTGCGGGGCAATAATTCCATGTAATTTAATAATAAAAGTAACCTAATAATAATAAGAATGTAACAGGCCTACATTAATTGGAAATTCTAAATCCTCTTAATATTGCCAATTTTTGATGCTTTTGACGATATCTCTGGCTATCGTCGACACATGATACGAAAGCACGGGGAGGTTATCGCGTCC